GGAGCCAGGGTTGGGCTCGGCTGGAGCCGCCGCGGCCTCGGTGCTGCCCGACCCCGCGGAAGGGAGCGGAGCGGAAGCTGTTGGAGCTCTTCCCGAGCGTCACCCCTGGCCCGGGGGAAAGCTCGACCCTTGCTTGGGCGTTTCGCGTCTCAGCCCGGTGTGTGGTTCCTGAGGCTGGCTGTGCTCCGAGGTGCTGGTTGGTATTGCAGGATAACGAGTAGTGTGGACTCTGGCTGGCTGACAGCCAAATTCCTAGTGATAAGGTTAAAGTGAATTGAGAGGAATTGTTCCTTCATCTTAACAGGTCTAACGCTGATTTTCCTTTGTGTGCATCAGTGTTCAGTTTTGTGAGAGGTGTGAGATGGAGATTTAGGTCAGTAGTGATGTGGTGGCATCGAAATGCAAAAAGTCAGAGATATTGGGGGCTTGAGGGATGTGAATGACAGTTATTGATATTAGCTGTGTAGCTTATGGAATTTTGGAAGGTTATGGAACTACTTGGAATGTTGTCACTGGGTGTGTGTCAGGACAAAGTTTCTGTATGTTCATATGATTTTTGTTATTCCTGTAAGGATCATAATCTTGTTTGGCTTCAAATAGAATTTAAGATTGTTTAATACAGATGTACAAGCTTGGGGTTTTTTCACAAGTAGGAGGGAAATGAGAAAGTTGAAGCACGTACATAACTGTGCACATGGGATTGCTTTGTGTTGTCTTCTGCTCTGAAACACATTTTGAGTTGATTGAGATACAAATGTGTGAAAATTTGATATCTATATGTAGTTTGTGCCGTCTGGTTTGTGGATATTTGCAAAAGCCCCAGTGTTCTTGTCTGTGTCTTGAGCCATGTAATGTTGTTGTGACCTCTGTCATAAATGTGCTTAGTGTGTTTACTTCAGGGGTATCTTGCTGCTCGTAGCTGTGGTCCAGCACACCCCACCTTTCCCATCCGTGTTTCTGCCCTGTTCAGTCTCTGACAGAGGGATGCAGCACCTCAGGCTTTGGTTTGTGAGTTCTAGGATGCAGAGTGGGAAGAAATGCCCAAAGTTATTTATGGGCAACTTTGCCTGTACACACTGGAAAATCAGGTGTAAAGTGCTGAAGGTTACTGCAGAGTCAGGTTTAACTTTTGGTGTGCGGTTTACAGTGTAGCCCTTAATTCCATACACCTGTATTTTTGTGTCCTCTGAGCTGCTTGCCTCATCTGAGAGGGGGGTGCTTTCCAAAGTGCCACTGAATTTCTGGAATTGTAAGGCTTTTTGGCTTGTGCTTGAGGCAGTAGTTCCTGGGCCCAGAAGAACTTGTATGTATGTAGCTTTGACAGGGAAAACTTCACTGTACGTGCATGTTGTTGGCAAGGACCAATTTAATTCTGATATTTTCTAACCTTGCTTAATGCTCCTTTAGTGCTTTTCTCTCTGTTGTAAGGTATGTGCTGAATTTACTGTGTTGGTTAAAGTGTTGTGATAGCTTCAAGTGTATTGTTGCTTCTGTCATAGTAAAAATGGCTGTATTTTTCGAACAATGGTTCTTTTGTCCTTCCAGTTTCACCAGCGTCCTCCTTTTTTAGGGCAGGCTGATGAGAAAAGCTGGTAAGTCTTAATTTAGCAATAAAAATTCATTAATTTTGTAACTCATTACCAGTTCCTGTGACTGTAACTTCAGTTCCCGTGAACTAGTTGAAAGTTTCACAAAGCATCATATGTCTGAATGACTAAGTCAGAATTGTGAGAACTGTTTTTGAAAATATCAACTATTTCCTCCAAATAATAATAATGAATTCTAATTCTCTTCATGTTAGTTTAAATCAAATCTGACTCTGATATTTGCATTAATTAACATTGGGAACCTTACATCATGGGATAATGCTTTTTGCTTGAAAAGCCCACAAAGGGTAGGACAGGAAGACAGGAATTCTTAGGTGTTTCTTGATTCTGAAAAAGAAAGCAGTAGTGTTGGCTGTGATTTCTCTGGTAAGTCAACAGAAAATTTTCAGAATGAAATATCTACAGTCAAATGAAAACAAATCCACATGAAACCATTTCTATAAGAAGCTGCAATTTGGAGGTTTTCAGCAATCATACGAACAATTTGGATGGCCTAATTGAGTTTAATTATTTGGAAGTACTTTTAATTCCTCCAATTAAAGAAGTTAGAGGAGATCCAGGTGTTCTGATAATTGTATTATTAAGCACATACTATTTTAAAACTTGTCCATGAATTATTTTACCTCTTACAGCAATATTGGATCCCACATATTTGTGTTGGTTTTTGTTGTGACTATTTTATGTTATTTCCAGTAATCTCTTACTTTGAGACTGGAAGAATCCCAGACTTGATCCATCTGTGAACTGAGCAATTCTCTTACATCCAGCAGTGGAAGTGGTTAGATTTCCTGCAGAATGTAGCACTTCATTGGTGCTTGTTTGGTACTCGGGAGTTCAAGGTGTACTGAATCACATGTATTTGAATTCTGAATATTGAAGTTTCTAGCTTGGTCACGTTTAGGTGTGAGTATTTATAAGGGGAATAAGATATTCTGTGCTTTCTGTGTTCTTAAGAGGCTGCCTGCCCCTTATCATGCTGTAGCTAAGGCTGAGAGGAATCTCAAGTTCCTCTGTAGGCAGCTGGTCACTGTGTGTCTCCAGACTGGATTGTGCCTGTAGCAGCAGCACAGGGGTGGTCAGTCGTGACTGTTGGTGCAGAGCAGAGGCCCCGTTCTGTGGTGTGTTGT